TAACTTTGTTAATATGGTTCTTATTTTATTTAAATTCACAGAAGCAATGGATGAAATTTCCTCAAAAATTTCCCTTTGCTTCATCCCTCCTTTCTTCGGAAGAATTTTTTTATTCATAACAAAGTTCCTGCTCCAACTCATTCTCTCCATCTCTCTATATCAGTGGAAAATACACTGGTACATATATGGTATATATATATAAACTCTTACAATCCCATGCCTATCCATACATATATAACAAAAAAAACAATATGATATATGATTATACTTGGTTAATTATATATAGATATATGCGGTTACATTGATACATTGGTTACATACAGTGAACTTAAAAGAACTATAAACAAAATTATAACACTTCTTTAAATTTCTCATATACTTCGGGGCCACTGCTCACGATCCATTCTCTCAAGGCACACACCTTCCAATAAGAGCAGTGCTCTTGAGGGTATCGGTGATACGCACAGGAGATTGGGGTAGAGCATGCCATTCGCCGGTACGCCGGACATCCGTAATCTTCCATGTCGATGGTAGGAACACTCAAATAATATTTTAGCAATTGTGCCTTCTCCTTCCCTTTTATGTATACCTTATCATATTCTTGTCGTATTTCTTGGCGTACCCTCAGGAATTCCATTTGGGAGTGATCCCCGTCGTCCCACTGGAGTCCATGTAGGTACATGCTACACCAGAGGTTTAGGCGATGATCGGAGTCACTCAATCGATTTTCGGGGAAGGGAGGCCGGAAGCAATACACATCCATCCACCCTGTCCTACAGTCCATGACAGCCATTTCCTTGATGAGGTGTACTCCTTGGACTTTAAAGCATTCAATCTCCACTATGGCTGCCTTGGGCTGGGGCATGGTTTTCCTATAATATTTACAATTAGTCATTACGCATATATTAATAGTTCACATAACACGCATACACACGTATTCTCTTGTTTTCTCGTACACTTGTTCAGCATTTCTGTCCAATCCTTGTTCGTAATTGTTCACTAGGTCACTTCAGTTTATTCACACTTGTTCAGTTCACTAAGTCACAACACTTTACTCCTACGTTGTTCGTTTCACTTCTCTGATCACAGTCTGTTATTCGTCTTTTCCTCTCGAACTTTCTATACCTAATAATTTTGTCTA